TCCCCAGCAACTCTCAACAGAGCTTTGCATCAGATTATGGACAACAAGTTGATTCGGCATACTCTACGCAACAGATTAACAACTCAGTTCAGATGAACGAGACAGAGCCTCCCCGAAAACGCCAACGAGTGACCATGACACCAGGCGATAGCTTTGGCGGATATGGGCAAAACATGGACATGTATGCAGCGGCCTTCCCTGGATCACCAACGGAACCAAACGAGTCATTTATCTACACCCAAAATACTATGCAGGATGGCTCGCCAGTGGACGAGGGTAGTGGACCCCTGGCGCCTCTCCCTTACGAGATGTCCCCCGAGGTCGAGATGAAGCGAAACATGCTGATGAGCTTGTTTCTGGAAGCTCCTGGCACCGATCCCACGAAGCATGATATGCTTCGAAGTTACACCCCAAAGGAATTGGATATGCCCATCGACTTGCAGAGCCATACTGCTCTCCACTGGGCTGCAACACTCGCCCGCATGCCTCTGCTCCGTGCTCTCATCGCTGCTGGGGCTTCCCCGTCCCGCGTAAATGCTTCCGGCGAAACAGCCCTGATGAGGGCATGTTTAGTCACAAATTCTCAGGATCATAATTCGTTTCCTGACCTCCTAGAGGTTTTAGGCAGCACCATAGAGGCTCGGGACCACAAGGGACGGACAGTGCTTCATCACATTGCGGTAACAAGCGCTGTGAAGGGGCGCAACGCTGCAAGCCGATATTACCTCGAAAGCCTTCTGGAGTGGGTTGTAAGGCAAGGTAGCGCACCTGACAGCCAGGCTACCAACGGGAATGGGCCCAGCGCCTCACAGTCGGCCAACCCAAAGATGGGAATCGCTCGCTTCATGAGTGAGATAGTCAACGCTCAAGATAGTGTTGGCGACACAGCCCTGAACATTGCATCTCGAATCGGAAACCGTAGTATTATTTCACAACTGTTAGAGGTCGGCGCAGATCCGAATATCGCTAACCGTGTTGGTTTACGTCCGCTTGACTTCGGCATTGGCAGTGAAAATGTTGAGGACAAGACGAATGGCGAAGTCAATGTGGATAAGAATGGTGCGACAGGGACAAATCAACGCAGTCGTGAGAGCAGCGACGAGATAGTAGCCTGTAAGTTGATCACACCTCGAGAATCCATCGGTTCATTGCTAATTAGAACAGCCATCTCTCACCTATTATCAGAAACAGGCTCAGCTTTCCAAACCGAGATGAAGGCCAAACAGGCTTCTCTCGACACCCTTCATACCACTCTCCGCACTACGTCAACACAACTTGGCGAAGCCCGACGGACTTTCGAACACCTTAGCGCGACACTCAAGAAGCAACAATTAGCTAGGCAAAAGGTCGCCAATCTGTCACACGCACGTGAGGACGAGCAAGTCCGTCTCATGCAAGAACAATCCAGAGCATCACAGCCTAACCCCTCGTCTTCATGGGAAACAGAGCTGTCTGCCATGCTCGAAGCCGCTGATGATACCTCGGGAGGTGGTTTTGGCGGTGAGGGCCTCCTGCCTTCAGCAGCTGTTCTACGTGCCCGTATTCGTGCCGTCGAGGGACGTCGTGATATGACTCGAAAGATGGTCGCCGCTCTAAAAGGACGGAGCCGCGATGTCGAAGTCAAGTACCGTCGTGTAGTGGCGTTGTGCACGGGAGTCCAAGAAGACGAAGTTGACGCTGTTATTGACGGTCTACTCAAAGCTGTGGAAAGCGAACACGAGGAGCTCGAAATTAACCGTGTGAGGCGCTTCCTCGGCGGCGTCGAAGGTGTTGTGCACTGATGCTAAGCTCTCGAATTCCTTGACTGCACAGCACACACCGGTTTGTGCTTATTGCAGACTGTAACGACTACACTTTCCGTACGATTCTGTGTTTATTTGTACACGGTGCTTTTGATACCCGCCGAGCCCGAAAAGCACCCCTGCTCGTGGTGGACTAGAGCAATGGGCGTTTTCTTACATTTGGCCATGGGGTGCATACCTTTCTGTTTATAGTTACACTACTGTTTCAAGCTTTTTGTTGCATTTTCGTTTTGTCTACGAGAACCGGAGATTGGACGACTACTTATACCTTTATTTCTGGACGAGAAGGAGTGAGCATAAAAGAGGAAAGAGGAGAAGTTGGATAGATAGCGCCCTTGACGAGTAATGGTGTATAATATATGACATGAAGAACAGTCATTGACTGGGTGCTTTCACTTCGATGAGTATAAGCTATGTGAAAAGAGACAGGGGCAGACTTTACGTCTCAGTAGAACTACCGTGTCGCCCAATTCCAAACTCCAAACGCCATGCAATGCCATGTGATATATACAACCAAGCAGATGAATTCTCCAGTTCAGCTCCAATACCCAAGGCGATCTTGCCGATAATCTGATGGCATGTTCATGCAACGCCATTGCGGTATACCCCTTCCCATCTCTCCTCAACACCACCAACTTTGTTCCTCAGGACCTTGATCTCAGCATCAAGCTCGTCCACGTTTCTTGACAAAGCGCTGACTTCCTCAAACCGTCTTGAGCCCTGGGCGGTCTTGACCATTGCTTCAACCATGAAACGCTGCTCTTCCAAGACAACGAGTCGCTCACGAAGCTCCTTTTCCTCCGCCTCGAGCTGACTCACAACTGTACTTCCTTCGCTAGGTGCTTGCGACGACGTCTCGTCAGCTAGCTCTGAGTGCCGTAAACTCGATCCTGAGTGGTGATGTGAAGCAAGAAGTCGTGATGTAGAAACTGCCGTAGAAGACGATGCAGATGAGCGTGAGCGAAGCAGCTGAGGGAGGCTCTTTAGAGGAAGCATGTTTGTGTGGAGAAAACCACTAGCGTATGTATATATCGCCATTTGAAGACGTCGCTGTGTCGGGCTCTCGGTTGGGAGATCACGCAGGCGCTTCGCAGCAATGCCATATTTTCCAAAGCTATCAACCAAACGCTTGCGAATCTTGGCCGCTTCCTGAATCTGTGCATGTGTAGGGGGTGGCTTGTTAAGATCAATCTCTCCGCTCTCCTTTTTCTCCGGTTGTAGATTCAGTAAGGCTCGATGAAAAGATGGTAGAAGTTGCTGGATTCCACGCTCAAACTGCCTCAACGTTTCGTATGCTCGTTGATCCACTGGTTTGTGCTGTAACGAAGCCGCAAAGTCCCGAGCGGAGAAGATTGTGTGCTTGCAATCACGACACATCCGAATGTCTATCCCAACTTGCCCGTCGCCAGTTACTGACAGGGGCTTTTCAGTCCCCGAAGGCGCTTTTGTCGCTCCATTAGTTTCGTTTGACACATTAAGGCCAACTTCAGAAGAACATCCTATTTGCGGATCGCCGCATACAACACGGCCACATATACGGCAATGGTGCCTCCTAAACGTCCAAGAGCCAAATTCTTGCTGGCAAAAAGGGCATTTCGAGACAGTAGCATCTTCTTCCCAAGTAACAACGGACTGCTCAATGAGCTTCCGGGGGTTCTTTTGTCCTGCTAATGATGTAACTGGGCCTAGTAAGGAGCCATTGGATTGTGGGAGTTTTTCGGGAGGGTTCGCTAGTAGTTTTGTGAGTTTTGTTAATCGTTTTTCGAGTCGTGAGATTTCTAGATTCTGTCGCTCGACCTTTTTCCTTCTTATTTCCACGAATGCGTTGGTGTGGTCCGTCAAAACACCTTGGTGATCGTTATATCCATCTCTTGATTTAAAGCATGTCTCGCAAACTCGCGCCCAGTAGCCTCGAACCGGTTCGTGCTTTGCGCTTCGACTCAATTTCATTTGGTACATGGTATGTTCCTCGCAGAATAATCGTCCACAATGTCGGCAGTTTATGCTTCCATTTAAAGGTCCTAGACTTCTTCCGCACGCCGGATCTGTACAAAGATCGTAGCTTGTAGACCGTTGCCAATGATGCCGTGTAATAAGTTCGTCGGGGTCAACCGGGCCTTCAAGAGGGTTCTTCCCAGCAGCACTAGATGGTGCGGCAACAGGGAGTGATTCGTTTGATTCGAAGACATCGAGACCGCGTAGTTTTTGGTTAATAAGTGAGAGAGGCTGAAATCGTTTGGCTTTGAGAACCTGCTTGTCAAACCACGTCTTGACCTCATCCTGCTCCTCCTCTGGTAATTCTTGGTGGGTGTCGTCGATATGGCGGTTGAGTTGAAGAAGAGTCATCTATGGGCACAGTATTTAGTTGACAACATTCAACATAGATACCGTCATAACTTACCATCTCTTCGTTGCATATTGGGCAGACAAGTGCGCCATCAACAGGGCCTTTCCCTTGAGCACCAACGCTGATGCTATTTCCAATGTCCTGGCCCGCAATATTTGGTGAGATACCGCTAACAGGAGGGGATATCGACGATGAAGCTATCGAGATGCTGCTTTCGGACGCTGCCAATGGACTTGCTACTCGAGGCGCATTCGTAATCGGAGGTGTCGGGGGAGCAAGGCCCCTGCCGCTGCCTAGGACACGGCCGCCGCCCAATTTGCGGCCCGACATGATGAAGAATCTTCGAAATGAGAAACCAAATCCAAAAAGAGAAAGAGTGCGACCGTAGCTGGTCGGGCTCTATCTCGAGCTGCGCCGCGGGGGGATGTTGGAAGTAAGATGATGGATTGAGGGGATACAGGATAGCCTGGCAAGCTGCTCCCAGTGGCTTGGTGCTCATGCCAGATAAAGAGGTACCTTGGACTCGGAGCTCCAAAGGCGGTGAACCAAGTACACATATAGCATGTGTCATTCCATGCCAAATGAAGTTAGCTCTCATTCGCTTGCTCCCGTTCCCCGTCCGATAAGGGCAATAAAACTTGGGATCTTTGTCTTGAGCGACAAAAAGATCGAAGGAAGTGTGTTGCAGTCCGTGCCGAGTCATAGACCAGTTATTTTTGATCCCCTAGCTTAGGTTCTGAAGTTTTCTTGCCGCCATGGGCCGCCGTGTCTTATCATACCCCTGCAGCTTCGATAAGAGTCAACCTTTGTCACCTTTACTTACCGTCCCTGATTTTAGTTGACGGGGAAAAATGACCCCCATTCAGAAGCCAGTATCAGCCCAGCCGGCGCTGGCATCTCCGGCATCTCCTCCCGCCTCTTCGACTCCCTCCTCCGAATCTTCTTCTGCTTCTGCTTCTGCTTCTGCTTCCCCCTCTTCTGCTCCAGTCGCAATGGCAAAGACTTATCCTCCTGTACAGCCTGGAGGCAGTTTGATCTTAGCCTGGCAAATCAAGCACAAGAAGGTGCTTGTTGTCGGCGGTGGTGAGGTACGTCTGAATCATCATCACATGCGCCGAGCCTCGGACTTTGATGCTTGAAGCGCCCATCAACCACAAACAACCGTGTAATCAATGATTCATCTTACCTGACAATTCTCCTTAGGTCGCTGCTGGTAGAATTCTAAACTGCCTCAACGCCGATGCCAACGTCACTGTCGTGTGCCCCAAGTCCGGCCTCAATGATGAAGTCGCCTACCGAGTCAGCGAAGGCCAAGTCGCTCACGTCGACCGAGTATTCGAGCCCGAAGATTTAGACGGAGCCAGCATGGTTCTGGTCGCTATCGACGACCCGGCCGCCTCGACCGTCATTTGGAAGCTTTGCAAGGAGCGAAGGATCCCCGCCAACATCGCCGACGTACCACCCGAATGCGATTTCTACTTCGGCAGTATCCATCGCGATGGTCCCCTCCAGATTATGGTCAGCACCAACGGCAAGGGACCCAGGTTGGCGGCGGCTATTCGGCAGTTCATCGCTAAGCAACTACCCAAGAATGCTGGTAATGCCATCGAGACTATCGGTGAACTACGACTCAGATTAAGAAAAATGGCCCCCAAGCCTGAGGATGGACCCAAACGAATGCTTTGGTCAGTTTCATGAGGCCCTGAACGTAGACTATACTGACAATCCCGATAATAGGATGTCCAAAGTTAGCGATACCTACAAGTGGGACGAGATGTGCGGCCTCACAGACGAAGATATGGACAATCTCCTTCTATTTTATCCTGCCAACAAAGTCCCTGCCATGGACGTTCTGCTAGCCCTCCGAGGAGGCACCGACGTCAAGAAACTCGACGTCTTTGATGGCTCATTCGGCTTCAGTGTCGGCGCCTAGATACCGGCAATACATACAGCAGACAATATCTACTAAACGATGGCGCAAGACACGGAGAACACTACGATTATACAATTTACTTGGGACAAGGTGCATATATGGTTTGGAATATTTTGGCTATGTATTGGAGATGGGGAAGACGCTGTCACAGCATTATTTGGTATGGAAATGGCGATTTCAGAACAGTTCACCGATTGCGGTATTGTTTGTTGGGGACATACTATTCATTCTAGATTGTTGTATTTACAAACCCTTTGAATTGCTCAGACATGTGGATGGTCGATCCCGAGACATATCGGCAGTTGATGCCAAAACAAAACGAAACGCGATGATTCGCTCGGCAGTTGCCAGGATGTAAGCACTGTATTATAGGATGGAGAGATGATATGATGATCATTAATTTTTATATTTCTTCTCTACGGTCAAGATTTCATCCGCTCAACCTTTTAACTGATAAATTCTATGTCGTCATGCATCATAACTTGGTATCATGAAAGCCTCTACAGCTTAAGAACCACCTTGTGGGTAGCGGTCTTCTCCTTCTCGTCACCGAATACATCAATGTCCCAATCAGGAGAGTCTGGAAAATGTTAATCGAAATTCAGGTATTTGGGATTATGGATCGAGACTTACAGGTCTTGGGGATGTTGAAACGCTGGGGCTTATCGCCGAACTTCTCAAGCTCCTTGATAGCCTCATCGTCAAGCTCCACCTCCTCGAAGTTGCTGCGAATACGAGCGGGAGTAACGGATTTGGGGATGACGATGTGGTTGTCAAGGGTGGACCAGGCGAGGATAACCTGGGCGGGTGTGACCTCCTTGCCCTTGGACTTGCTGAGGCGCTCAGCGATAGCCTTGACCTCGGGGGTGTTGATGAGAAGAGGCTCGCCCCATGAGTTGTTGCCGAAGGCAGAGTAGGCGGTCAGGTAGATACCCTTCTCCTTCAGGTACTTGACGAGCTCGGGCTGGGGAAGACGAGGGTGGCGCTCGACTTGGTTGACGGCGGGGGTGACACCAGTGTCCTTGATGATGGTCTCAAGCTAGTGGGGGTCAGTTGTTTGTCCACGGGTTGGGGCGAGGCATAGCGGAAACTTACCATCTCAATGGAGAAATTGGAGACACCAATTGAGCGGACCTTCTCCTTGGGCAGCTTGGTAACGGCTTCCCAAGTCTGGGACAGGGTGACGCCCTGGTCAAGCTCCGTCTTGTTCTTATCATCGGCCTTTAGGGGGAAGAGTTCGGGGCCGTTCTTGAAGGCAACGGGCCAGTGGATCAGCCAGAGCTGTTGGAGTGGTTAGCTGTGCGCGAAAACGAGTAAATGAAGCCTGGACTCACATCAAGGTAGTCAAGACCGAGCTCCTCGAGGGAGTCATCGAGAGCACCGGCAACCTCCTCAGGGCGGTGCTTGTTGTTCCAGAGCTTGCCGGTGATGAAGATGTCCTCACGCTTGAGGCCGGGGACATCGTTGAGAGCCTTCTTGATGCCCTCGCCGACCTCACGCTGGTTCTGGTAGATCTTGGCAAGATCGAGGTGGCGGTAGCCAGCCTTGAGGGCCTCGTAGACACCGTTGCCGACCTCACCTGGGGCAGCCTGCCAGGTGCCGTAGCCGATCTGGGGCATCTTGTGGCCCGAGTTGAGGGTGACAGTTCGACCGAAAGACATGGTTGCGGTTGTTTGTTTGGGTGAGAGTGTTATGTGAGAGGATTGTGTCAGTGTGAGAATGGGAAGAGAGAAATGAGGGAAAGGTGAACGTGGGAGAGGAGAGGTGGAGAGGTTTATAACAAGAATTGCGTAGCTGCAACAACCGCCAGAAACGCAAGAGTAAGGCAGGTAATGTTAGTGAACGTGGACGCGGTATGACACCAGACGAGGACCCAGTACAGGACAGGACAGTACTTGCTATCGCCATAGATATCCACATTTACATCTTGATCGTTCTCCAATGCCATCGAGAACCCTGGTGGTGACGGCTCCCTCCCCCACCACACTCCTCACATCTTGGATAGCTGTAACAGGTATGACTTGTTGCACTAAAAGGATACTCATGATGCCCGGATTGGCAGCTCCGAAGAGCTTTCACAGAGGCTGATTCGCTAGTCCATGCATGGATCGAGAAGCTTCTACAGAAACACCAACCGCAAACTGCCGGGCCTGTCACCAAAGCAAACCGACCTAAGGAGAGACGCCGCGGGGCAATTTCCATTACTGCCCCACGTCAAAAGGCGTCATTGCCCCATTGAAGGGGCTAAAAGCCCGCATTTGTTAGCGCTAGGTGCTGTTGTTGCGATGTGGATTCACCTGAGAATGATATCAGCGACCTTTTTTTTTTCTTCGCCTTTTGCCTTTTGCAACTCGTGGCGTGCAAGCTTTCGGCCTAGTTACCCCGAGTCAGTGCTATATTGCTACTACCTACTAACAGACGATTCTCGTGTATCATTGGCCCGGCTGTACCTACCCAACTTCTGGGGCTTCAGGGGAGAATATGGAGAAGACGTGCTTAGTGTAATCTAATGCTATCGTTAGTTGGTATTTTGTGGTGAAGACCCCATGTCAAAGTTGTCATGAGGGGTAGCAACCATGTTGGGAAACTGAGAGACCAAGATGAAAGGAGAGAATCTTGTATGTATTCATGCTGGATGCCCTTCATAGGTTGATAAGTGTTTGAAACCAGTGAATTCCCATTAGTCCATGTCAGATAATCGAGGGGATCTTCTGGCTCACAAATTATCAAGATATGATATAATCATGATAAAAGGCTGGGGGCCCTTTTGAGCACTTCGTGGATCTTTGAGGGACGACTCATGATGGGTCTCCCCTCAGTGTAAACAATCCAAGTTCTAAGCCAGAAAGAATGCTTAGCCATTATAAGTACCTACTGATTGCACTGCACACCTGTTGTTGGCAACTAGACGTATCTTGTGCACTTGTTTGAGAACAACATGAACTCGCGGTTGTGATTCCGATTACATTTTGCGACTGAGAACGAAACACAATAACAGGTAAACAAAAATAAGTCAATAAAAGAGATATGCGGACAAAAAGAAAAACAGGTGGGTAGCTTTCTAACAGCTTCTTGGAACCCAAAATCCTAACTATGTCTCCTTGTCCCCCTTCTTCTGTATACACCACTGCTTTACAAGGCTCCAAGTAATTCCAGCATCCTCCAAACATAAGCTCCAATTTTTCATTGTTTCCTGTATCAAGTCCGAGCCTCTTGTCGCGTTTTTGTCAGGGTTGAAGTTGAAATTCTTCAACCGACACGATTCTGGCCATACACAATCCTCAGTCCAAATGAACTTACGGTGCCGACCCTTGCCAAATTCCAGACGAAACCCGAGCTCGCCGCGAAATGTACTATCAACATCGTTCAAACTCACCGCTGGGAGTTCTTCTGTAACCCTTTTGCCCTGAGCGTTGGTGTATGTTATCTTCCGCAACGTGAGTGACTTCAATGTCTCCCATGCATGCTTGTTGATTTCCCTCTTGAGCAGTCCGTCTGGTGCCAGCTTAGGATCCAGAACAGGTTCTGTACGGTGTGACGGCTTTGGAGGTGGAGGCCTGTATGTGCTCGGAGGACGCACACGGGGCGGCCGAGCATTGAATATATCCCGTGGTGCATTCAGGGGCTGAGTTTGATCATTCATGGGTGAAACTTCAAAGCCCACGTCCTCCATTTCTACATCTTCGCCCGCCTTCATCTCTTCTCGCAATTGATTCCCCGTCGTTCGTAAAGGCGCCTTTCCCTTATTGTCCTTGCCGACCCTGTATGGTTCAGACGGCTTCAGCGGCCGTACCTTATCTTTATTGCGCTTCTTCTGATATCCCAGCTTCTTCTTCTGCTCTTGCCGATGTTTCGTCATCACTTCCCTGAAGGCTAGCCATATTTCCGATCTGATCTTTCTATCCTCCTCAGAGGTCTTCTGTATGCGGTTGGATCCTTGGGCATCAAGATCGAGAGGATGCTCAGTTTCGGCAAAGGTGAATTGCTCCCTGGTGATTCCCATGCATTTCGTCAGACGCTCCAGTGCCCGTCCATTTGCTGGGAATACTTTCCCTCTATCATAAAGTGGTTTGATACTCGCGCCCCAGGTTTTGTGCCGATATATAAGCTCATTGTCTTTTTCATTCAATGGATATATGAGCCCCCGGAGAAGAGATGCACCGAAGCGCTTGATGTCGCCCTTCGCCTTGCCATAGCTCATCTCCTGTTCTTTGACATCGAATCTTTGCAATTCGTCGAGAAAGCGGAAAATTCGATGCGTCCGTTTAGCAGGGACGTGTTTGTCTCGGAAATCACAGTTGTCGAGCGCAAAGAGGTCATAAGATGAAAACTCCTGGAGCATCCTAGAAACCATCTCGCGAAAGTCTTTCTCGGACTCCTTCGTCCATTCGTTAGATTTGCGGGACATGTCAGGTATAAGTTCCAGATGCTCTGCAACATCGGCGAGTAGATCCAAACCGTCAATTGTTTGACTGATCAGATTTGAGAACTTGTCTTCTGGCCCAGCGTCACGGTTGTGGGCTTCAATATGCCTCTTTACTTTATCCGTAGTCTTCCGGATGCCGACATACATGGAGGAATGCTTGTTCGAAATGAAGTTCTCAATAAGCTCAGCCACAATGCGATGTTTTCCCCCTCGGTCACTGTGCAAAGCCTTTTCTTGGAAATCAAGCATAATGTCTTCGCTGTCATAGTATTCTCTGATCAACCAATCCTGCCTGTACTCTGGCCTTTTAATGGTAAGGTAGGTGTTGCGCATGGGCTCAGAAGCGGCATGAATTGCTTCTTTACGGAATGCGAAGATGAAGAAAGCCGCGGCGTGCCGGATCAACTCCTGAATTTGAAGGTATTTTGCTGTATACGTACCAAATTCTTCAGAAACATGAGGTCTAGGTGCAGCTGTCCTTTTGAAGTACCCGAATTCTTCCATCTTGGGTGGTTCTTTGAGTGTCTCCTGTTTGAAGGTTTCAAAATCTTCCAAGGCATTTGTAACGGCTTCCCATATGAAGAACTCGAAAAAGGCCCTTCTCAGTACGCTCCTCATGCAACTTCGATATAGTACGTTACGCAAAGTTGGATCATGGTAGCTCTGAGAGTACTCGTTCGGCAGATACGTTGAGTCTTCGACAATATTAGTCCAATGATGATCCTTTTGTTCCGCGATGTATTTGGTCAGGTAGACAGGGTCGTCAAAAAGGTTCTTGATGTGTTCTTCAGCCGCCGCACTTTTGTCCTTGAGCTTAGTGCGATACCTTTGCAGGTTGAACCCAGTGCAATTTGGTTCATATTGTCGAATCGATGCGATGTCTTGCATTGTTTCGGCTCCCTTCTTTTCTTTCAGCATATTGATCTTTTGTATTGCTGAAATCCCAATTTCCAGTATCTCCTTTTTGCTGAGTCGGTTAATGTGGCCTGTAATCAGCCCAGGCTTTGCCAGATCTAGCATCTGTCTGCAGAAAGTAGCCAAGAAGAGGTATGTAATAGCTTGGGACTGCAGTATAAGCCATGCTTCCATGCTACCGAACATGCGCCCGGCAGATTGCAAGTCCTCAAACCTGTCTTCATCCATCTCAGGTGAGTGCTTGGAAAAAATCCGAGGTTCGCACCAAGCTCTTCGGTATGGATTTTCGTGCTCATGGTCTTTTACTGGGACAAACATGACATAAATCGAAGGATCGCAAGCGCCTGACAAAATATGGGACTGCTTTCCTAGGTGCATACGGTTGTTATCTTGGAAAAGCAAAGTCAATTGGGTGAAGTCGGGCCCGATAGTGGATGAACATGAGCATATTGAGTGGGATAGAAAGATCTTCCTTGTTGATGTGCGAGACCAAGAAATGAGCTCTTTGCTTTCGCAGTGCATCTTCTACTTCCAATTTATACCCGGCTAGTTCAGAGGCGTCTGCTGCAGGGTCTGGACTCGGTTTCCTCAAATTTCGGAACTCGACATCGTCCATGATAGCGTCTTCCATAGCCTTCCTGTCGTCGCGATAGTTGGCCGTACTGCGATAGAGTGCGTACTGTCTCTTTTCCTCGAGTATCTTCGGTTCACCGTTGTTCATCCAGTGGAAGTTGACTCTGATGTTGCGGAGATATTCATGGGCAAACTCGTCGAGATCACTTGAATGGTTGGGGTTGATATAGCCTTCAGGATCCAGGCTGAAATCACTCTCCATCTGAGCGGGCCTTGACTTTGAACGGCTTCTGGTATATTCGGCATTGAACACATTTCTGGTCTCTTCCCAGCTTTTCTCCAGGCAGTCTTGAATGCATAGATTCTTCCCATTCCGGTCTCTGACTTTTCCATCAGTGAGGTTTATGATGATCTCCTGGATCTCTCGCTCTTTGCCGACTACGATTTCATTCAATCTCGACCATTCCGATTGAACAAACTGGTTGACATGCCTCAATTCTTCCAAAAGCTCTTCGGTGGGCCTTCCAGGGTCAACTGGTGGCCACACAGAGTTTCTTCCATAACCATGAAAGGCACAGAGGGCCCGGGCACTTCTCATAGATTGGCCGTGTATCGTTTCCTTCGCACGAAGATGCTCCTCCCTAGCAAGGTCTTCGAGATCCGCATCCAGGACCGTTCCATGCGTTGGATCGCCTAGCTTGTAGTTTTTCCCGAGCCACTTGACATGGTAGTTCGAGTATTCGTATTCAGTGGGTTCCTGGCACTCGTCGGTCATTATGATATACAAGCTCTCTTGTTGAGAGCTGTTTCATGGTTCAGATGCTGTCTTAGGAAGGGGATTGACTCGTTTATAGAGATAATGGGTAGAGAAAGGTTTCCCGATATTAACATCAGACCTCTCGCAGATGAAAACGCTTAGGAAGAGTTCCCAAAGAACAATGTCGATAGTCTCGAGCAGTCGCAGTATCTCTCCTGAGACCTTTGTCAGACATATAGGCTGCCTGGTTGATGTGAACATCTGAAGAGTGTGATCGGAAGCTTAAGCTCGCAATAGATCTTGAGGAACAAAGAGAAAACAACCACCTAGGCACTCTTTGGGCAGCTCACGATCATTCAGTACTGTGTGTTAATGTCCGTTCTACTCACTGATTTAACGCCATAGTTATGTCCAGATACATTTGCCAGACCCTCACAATGGCACTCCCAGAGTTTCTTGAGGGCACTCCTTTGTCTTCTCAATCCTCTCCATAGGCCACATTAGATGCACGGGCAATTGGAGTTTCGAAACTCAGATACCATGAGGATCACTGACATCTGTCATCTCCTTTGTTTAGAGTCCGAGTGGCTGGTCCAGTGTTGGTCGATCGAACAAACTTATTGAACTATCAAGGGACGAGAGCACAAGTCGAGGCACCTCAATGACCCAAAGTTGGTATTAGAGGCGCCTATTGATGACATGTTGTCTTTGTTTAGCATCCATGGCTACGGAACAACAATGCGGCCACTATTCGGGATGGCCGTCCACATTGAAGTGGGAGAGACCTTGTTCTGAAGCAGACAGAGCCGGTGCACACTCAGCGGCATGTTTCAGTGAGGCGTAACCCCCAGGACCGCACCTTAAGGGTGAGAAATGATGAATATCTCATCTATAAGGGCGATCAGAAAGCATTCATGGAAAGTCGAGTCTGCCTCCGTTAATAGATAGCTAAGTTACTCTCCGATAATGGCGGGAGATGAAAGGGAAACGGTGAGTTGAATTGCAAGGAAAGAAGATGTGATCATTCCTCTTCAAGCTTAGTCATCATCATATTTACGCGATGGTTCTTTCGATCCAGCCTGGATGGTGCGCACCAACTTTCATCTCGAGGTGCCTAACGTGACCGATCTTAGAAAGATTTCTCTGCCATGAGGTAAATGTTGTGATATTGTGGGGTTATGGCTTGAAGAACTACCTCAGGTGCGTAAGGAATCTCATGGTTCGATTCTCCTCATTCTTTGTCAATTTCTTTCAACAAAAACGCTCCCAAAGACGCGTCTGACACACTTTCAAGACCCCACATTCAAGATTCAAACCAGAACAATACCAGCAAGCCAACAATCAGTTCAGACACTAGAAGCACAAAGGCATCAAGCACTGAGAAAATACTGGCCTGGTTGCAAAGATGGCGCGCCTGAGTGCTCAAGGCGTTGCGTCTGCAGAGGTTCAGCAATCCCCAGCGCAGTCGCTCAATACCACCTCTGAAACCACCAACGATGAAGCGGTTCCGCCCTTCTTCAACACGACTTTCTCAACTCATCGTGTTTCACCCATGCACATTGGGAAATCGCGTCTCACAGGCCAACGGCTCCAGGTCATCGCCAGTCGCCTTCGTGATACCCTTGTCGGCGATGTAGTTCGTGGCATCCAACTCAGTTTGGAGGCAGCAGATACATCTTTTGGTCAAGTTGGTACTCTCAAGGGCGTCCGAATCGAATGGTTTCGTGCCAGTACCTTTCTGGGTGAAGACGCGCCTGATTTCGACCTCGAAGCTCCACGCGGCGACCAGAGCGACCTTCCAGACGACCAGAAACAAGGGCTCTGGATAAGCATAGAGCATGAGAATGCTGCTTATGCTGCGATTCTTCTACCTGGGCTATCAGATTCCTCACAGTCGCGGCAAATTGATGATCAAAGCAGGTTTCTACATCTGCCATTATTGTTACTGCGCATGCCCCAGCAACTCAAGACCGTTGTGGCAAATTGGCTTGCTGCTTCTTTCGACTGTCGCGTCAGTCGGATAACAATGGGGACTAAGACTATTCTCGGAGTATGGGAAAGCTGGATCGTAAACGAAGGTCTCAACGACCGAGGTATTGACTTCACCATAACACTTGCATTCAACGTCTCGCTTCAGATCAGCGAGGACCCAACGGCTATCGACAAACGCCAAACTCAAGAAGAAACCAAGCCTAACCCAGGGCTTCGATCTGTTGATATCACCATATCTGCACAAGACCTTCGCCGCTTTGTGCGTGCTGGTGAGAAGAGCCATATCCCAGTTGATGCTTCTTGGCAAGGAGACGCCCGTGAACGACGCAGGCTTGCTGGAGGTAACACAGACGACGGCTGGGCTTGGCGTACAAAGGGTCCTCCCGAAGCATCCCCCTTTACGGAAGCCTTGGGACTCTATCTACATCACCATCTTGCGCTGGATCTTTTCCATCCCGGCGTACATGTTACTCAGATCTCCTGCGCTGGGTTCGTGCTGGGTCAGAGTCGCCTAAAGATCATAATGCCAGGTGATATCAGCCAGAGCATCTCCCGCGCTGCGTGGTCCTTTGTGGCGCAACTTGGACAAAGGGTCCAGGGTGAGCAGCTGCCGCAGGTATTTGCCAATCAACCCGGAGTTTGAGCCAACGCATGAGCTCAGTTCACAGACATTCACTGTCACCCACTGGCTCCTAAATGCTGATGGGCCTGGAAAAAAGGGTCTTGTGCTGGGCCGTTCGGTGCATTCCTTTGTTCAGAATGGTTCTTGGCGCAGTGTTTTTCAGTCCATCATGACCAGACTGATGGGCAATTCGAAGAGTTCAACAGTCATGAAGCAAATGATGCGAATGGCGATGAAAGGGTGGTTGGTCCAATGCTTTGCTTGCACACGCCAACTTTCGTTGCACGAAGTAACATCTGACGAAATACCATCGGCCCTTTTGACAGTAACGAAGATACAATTCCTGTCCAAGAGCGGAGAAATCAACTTTTATCCCCCGACACTAGCATCTAGCGTTCCTTTTGGGAACACCTTCTTTCTCCAGCATCCTTGACGGGTGGTAGCTTCACTGGCTGCCGCCGCGATAAACATTGCTTCTGGGATGCTGAGACTGCCCGCGGACACCCATTCTCGCCTGCATCATTGTCCAGAAAAAGGGCAATGGAACTGAATCAAGCATAATCAAGGCCTGCCGACTTTTCTAATCAATAAGTCTGTGTCCTTTCGTCTTGCGGCATGTAATTCGAGGTGTCATATTCTGGCAGCCTCGGGCGTCGCATATGCAGGGAAAAACTCTTTTGTTGGTTTGCGGTTTAATTTCGCAAAAGCGCCTCTTGAATATGGTGCAAATTGTGATCTGTGCTGTCTACTTGGGCACCAGTACCTTGGCATCATTTAACCAAGTCATTAAGTCAGACAAACAAGGCTGTGACGGGAAATGCGGTGGAGGTGACAACAAAGAGGGGTCTATTTTTGGTGATCACCTTGCACACTATGGAACTCATGCATTTGAAGCTGGAGATACGACAAACACGAAGGATATTGCTTCAATGTCCTTGTTTGGTCTTGGAGATGGAATGTTCCCGATCATCTTCATTGCGACTAGGAGGAGCAATGCACGGCTGATGGTGTATCACGGATGGGAGCTATGGAATCACTGCTTCAATGGCCAAGTGCTATAGCAGCAAGCAAAGCTGGAACCACGCTTTCATAAAAGGCTCGGCATAAATGTCAACAAAACCAATGCCAAAAAGCCACATGCAAGTGCCATGCTCATTGACAACAGAAGAGATGAAAGTGTTTGCCGTCGCCAAGCATCGTTGAGCCTCCATATTTAAGCTTATGGTGGTATCATAGGATGCTATTCATAGTTTTACTAAGACCATAGCGCAGTTATTTACGTCTTAGCCCTGATACAATGGATCCAGTATCCTGGCCAAGTCTTTCCCATTCTTTTCAGGAGCCAAATTAAGCAAAGGAATACGCTTCACCGTGCTTTTTCTCATCGCCTACAATGTTCGGCGTGTGTGTGATGACCTAGTGACACAAGTTGCGCAAAGTTTGGTGACTGAGCTGAACATCCTTGTCTCCAAATGCGGCACCGACGGCTCAAGAAGGTCCTATATTTGGCACTGGAAGTGAATATCACATACAGTGAACTTAAGCCAGCATTGCCTCTGGTAATAGCTGCAATGAATTCTCATCACAGCCTAGTACTGTTGCACAGCATCAAGCCCTTGGTCGGACAAGCTCTAGAACTTGCCGCTGCCAAAGTCGCCACAAGTCTTGACAGCTTGCTTTGAGGCACGAATGTGGTCTGATACTTGGGGTTCGCAGCGGTATGCTGAGCTGGCCTGTCCCAGCTGGAGGGATAGGCATAGATGTCGTCCGGACTCCGTCCAGTTATACCCATGCTGCCCACAATCTCTCGGGTGCACTCCCGTGCGGGCTGTGCGTTGAAAGTAGAAAGAGGCTACTTACGTGAGCTGATGCTGTCACTCGACGGCAACAAGCGAGAGTCCCATGTTAGCTGAAAGCCGGGGGCTTTATTGATCCCTTACTCTTACCTTTGCCCTCAGTCATCCTGCTTCACCTTCTTCAGAGGCTTCCAGAACTCGTCTTGAGACGCTACCATAACAGACATTGCACTTCATCAGCATCCTTTTCGAGGTTGAATACTCTATTTCAAAACTCCATGTCTGAGGCTCGTACGCATTGGGGTCTCTCGTGCCCTTACGGAGGCAGTTTCTACATCTGTGAAGATGACGATACGCAGTTTATAGGTTGTTGTGTCAATGATCCATGTGGCAGGAACAACGGAACCTGTCTTAGTGGTGATTTACGTGCAACATCCTTCGACTCTGATAAATACTCTCAGCTTCCCCAGCAAGACTGTGACAACTCTCAAGGTGTCGACAACTGGTACTCGTGTGCCCATACCGAACCGCCATTCCTAGGATGCTGCAGCCAGAACGCTTGTACCTCAGAGTGTCCAAGGGCAAAGCTTGTGCCAGCTAAGCTATCTGAAATTGAGAATAACAGACTCAACTTTCTTCACCCTAGCCAAAGTCAAAGCTCTACTACCTCGAGTGTGTCCGAGACAGCCTCTACCACAGCCTCGAGCACCTCTGTAGTTGATGTAAATGAGGGCGATGGCTTGGGAGCTGGAGCTACTGCCGGCATCGCTGTGGGTGCGTCAGTCGGAGGTCTGATTGTTCTCATTCTCGTGGCCTGGCTTTTCTGGTGGAAGCCCCGACAGAAGAACAAGCATCAACGAGAACACGGCCCAGGTTATAGTGTGCCTCCAGCTGCACCGACACTTACAGCGAATCCGGTTCCGCCTCCAAGTGGCCCTATCCATCCGAGCACATTCGTCGCCCAATCTCCCAGGAGTGGCTATCAGCGTAAGTAGACTCGTCCAGAAGGAGATTAACACTAACAAAACGCAGAGTCATTCACTTCATCTCCCACGGTTATGAATCCACACAATAGCGGTATATCCTCTATTGAACAGTTCCAAAAGTATTTTCCGAATATTTCTCATTCTGAACAACCGCAATCCTTCATATACTTTCCGGAGCACAGTTCCCGACACGCACACTGTCCCAACTTTCTTCCTCCGTACCAACAACAGTACAATCACAGTCACAACCAACAACAGATGGGTGTCGCTTCAGAAATGGTTGGCAGTACGACACTCCCACAGGAAATGAGTACAGGTGCAGAACATCGCATCAATCGTCACTCGAGCATTGTTCCAGAGACAGAGTTGGGCCTCGCCAGACCGCAAATGAGTTGAACCGAGAATTGGGCATAAAATATATTTTAAGGGCTTCAACATAGCGTTGGTTTAAAGTCAGGTCCTCCGTAGGATCATTCTATCACCTGCAAGAACTGCGGGCTCCTAACTAATAGTGCCATGCATTCCCTTAGGCGATTGCTCAGAGCAAGCTCTTCATATGTATTGGTATTCGCAGCTGGAGGGAGACGGGGCAGGGTATAATTTGTGTTTGTATCTAGAACAAGTGGATAAGGCATATCAATTTAATACTAGCATGTTTTAATCCAATTATTCAATCGCCGAATATACTGTATCTTCAATATGCCAAGCAGAACCTGGGGTTTGCAAACGGCAATGAGTCTGCAGCCTGTCACAGGAAACCAAACCCGTTTGTTTGCGTGTGACGAAACTGTATGTCACAAGCTGGAAGATTACGACATTCTTTCTCTCCGGAATTTGTGCAACGACTGCCAGTGTAATAGTCGAAAGTGGCGTCCTGAACGTATTTCATGGCTTCAAAAAGTGCATAACTAACACATTGCTTTTTGTATCTGTATTACAGGATGGTCGTTGAAGTGATCGAGATGGCGGATCAGCCAGGGGTGCAGTCAAAAATAACGCGACCATCTTCAGCCAAGATCTTGATGGTGATAGCTCTAATTAATTTCGAGCCTCACCCCGGTTTCATGGGCGGAACAAGCTATGTCATCCCACCCCTCAAACTGGACAGATCCAGCCACACAGAATGCATCGCTCGCCACACCTGGAAGGTGAGCCAAGTATGTGGGACATGGAGATGTCCTTGATTCAGGCCAAGCATGACATAAGAGCCTTAACAATATTCATGCTGTAACGTCATGGCATGTCATGCTGAGAAACAAGTAAGGTGTATGGGAGAGGAAAGTAGGTATATAAAGAGGACAAGTCAATACTGGACATGTAGCAAAAGACCAAGACTATTACAAGATCTATCAATCAATCAATCAATCAATCAATCAATCAATATCAATATCACCAAAATGAATTCCGCTGGAGACCGATCCGTCATCTCGAATGACATGCAGGAGCTTCGCGAGGGCGGCGAAGAGATCTCCCACAAGATCCAGGGCCACAAGGCGAACCTTTCCAACCCCAGTATGAGCCCTCTTTAAACGAGAGTCGCCTCCAGTTACTAACAGTGATCGATAGACACCAGCCAGGCCAGCAAGGAGAACAGCAAGAAGGAGATCGAGGCTCTGGGAGGAGACGCGAACCACTACGGCAACGAGTCTGATCCTCGAAGCAAGAGCGCGGCGGACAACTTGGAGGGAAGCCGAGTTGGTTGAGTAAAATAAGTAATTAATTCAAGAATTCAAGAAAGATATAATCTGATATCCAAATGGGAATAGTAATTGAGTTGTTCGTTCAACTTTCATATATGCGTATATTCGCCCGCGTAAGTGAATGATTCCGTTCACCGAGCCAATCGTCATCAAGTAACTGACTGCCCCAGCTTCGAAATCAGCCCCGGATCCGATTCGGATCCGAAACATCCAGCGTCGGGGTCGATCTTGCGGAGCTTGAAAGCGCAGCATGTCGTTGTTTACTTACAAAAAGGAAGCTTATTTGCGTCTCTAAATTGTTTATTGACACTGGCCTAACAGGCTACCTACCTCAGCCAAGTCCCCAGGCATTGCGAATCACGGGAAGTGGGATGAAACAAACTTCTGCTTACTCCCAAGGCGTTCCCTGGGAAATGAAGGTAATACATACAGTACAGACCTCCTGTACAAGTACCTATACCGGTCGGCATCTCCTTTCCACAGGTCACGCTCAACAAAGTAACGCTGATAACGTCGCCAGACGCGCGGGTGCCCATGTTTCATTACAGAATGAAACGTGTACTTGCAGTATTGGGCATAGCAGGTCGGCAAAGCGGATGATCGGCACAGAAGGGTTGAGGTCTAACGAGTTCTGTCGATGGCATCAGAGAAAAAATGTGTTAGCCTGTGAATGTCGGGCTGCTGATGGTGATGGTCTGTCTTATTGCCATACTCCTCATGGCGGAATATTTCAGCCAATATAACTCAAATATCCACATTAAATAATAATGACAGATTTGAGTAAAGTCCAGCCAATAGTCACGATAGTCTATGTCACTCGCCAGAGCAAAATTGAGACGGGTCTTGGCGTCAAACAGCCACTTTTTGGGCAGTGACAGGCTCTGCATCGTATCTCCGTGCCAAAGCCGGCGGATCTCAGAGGATTGGCTGGCAAAGTGTCGATCTAAAGACAGGACCGAGGAAGAACAATTCGTTAGAGTCGTTGAAAAACACCTACATAGGTTAGTAGGTACATTACATACTGCAATGAGTTACATACAGTACAAGGATCTACCCGCGCGCGGTATTTGTAGCTCGGCAACAGAGCCAAGAGTCGCTAGAAGCTGTCGCTGTCACTGTCGCTGTCACTGTCAATGGAACATCCATGGCCATGGTCAGATCGGGCTGCCGGCAATACTCCTTCGCTATAAGGCATTAGCTCTCTTCCTCAAGAGGTCAAGTGTGGGTTTTCTCTTGCGTGGCTGATCATACCTATTTGAATCCATAACTATGATTTTCTTGCCTCCAAGCCATGGATGCAAGATCAAGATGAATGCACGAGGTACCATTCATTCATAAGAGCCATCTCAATTAGCGACATTCATCATATTCTCCGTTGCCACCACTGTCCCTTTTTTCCCCCCGTTGCTTGTCTAATAATATTTATTGTTTCCGGCCCTTTTTAATTTTTTGCCCTTAGTAGTATAGCAAGGCGAGAGAGGCCCGCAAGACCAGGATCATCTCTGAGGCTACCTACGGAACACCCATCATTCCTCGTTCACTCATTCACTCGTTTATCCGTCAAACACTTTCTTTTTCTTCTTCTTCTTTTCCTTCTCTAGAGGCGACTGCATCATCGATCCAAGTCATTTTCTGCGATATTCTACTCAACAGATGAAGGTTGTGGTTACAGGGGCGACCGGGATGGTCGGCAATGAGATCGTCAAACACTGTCTCGCGGACGCACGCATCACAAAAGTCGTTATTCTCACTCGAAAGGCCGTCTCAATGGACATCGAGAGTCACCCAAAGGCGGATGTTATCATGATTCAAGACTTCGCGAGGTATTCGGATCAAGTTCTACGGCGACTTGAAGGGTCTTCGGCGTGTTTATGGTAAGAAAGACAGTCTCTTTCGATCTCTGAAGATCAGTCTTCATACTGCTCAAACATGAGAGGCTGATCATTCACCCAGGGCCATTGGAGCACGGCCAGATCGTCTCAGCCACGACAAGACACTTCTTCACCACGTCAACGTGGAACTACCGCTCACGGCGGCAAAAACATTGAGCGAGCGCATAGCGCCAAAGACACCAGGAGGCAACAAGTTCAACTTTGTCCTGTGCAGCAACAAGACCAACTCAAAGGCATCTTCACTGCTCTCGCTCGGGGACCCAAGGAAACCAAAGTCCGAGGCGGAGAAGGGTCTATGCGAGATTGCAGACGCCAGCCCTGAAACATTTAGCGCTTGGATCTTGAGACCCAGCGCCATCGTCACCCCAGACGCGCCCAAGAAGAGAAGACTTGTAGGCGGTCGCTCGGCTCACGGCGTTGAAGTTGCGCAGATGGCCAGGGCTTTTGTCAAGGTGGCCTGTGAGGGCTACAAGGATCGCATTATTGATAACGATGCGCTGCTGAAAATGTGAGATTCTTCCTTGGGGAGAAGTGGGTGACAACGTGTACGATGGAGCTGGACTATGTGCGTGTTGTGAAGCCGAGCTGAGCTTGACTGGGGAAGAATTTGTGGACTTGGCGGAGCATCTGGGACCGTCGAACGATATGCCAAGCCTTTTGGGAGGTGATATCCATTTGGGTGCTGTGTTGATGCTGGCACATCAAGTTCACGTCTTTGCTGTATTGTATTGTGTTGTATTGTGTTGTGTTGTCTTGTTGGCCTTCGATTCATTGTACCACTACTAACCGGGTCACGATATTAATGATGTATATAGTATTCTAGCCGGCGGAGATTGATAAGATATTTGTGTAATTGACAACATCCATCAAACACGGCAGCTCTCGCCAAGGTATTTCGACTCGTGGTAGCTTCCGGGTATTAAACTCTAAGAGATGGAGTACGGTCCAACCAATCGAGTCTTCTGACTCGTGCATGTCTGCGATTGGAAGTGGCATTGTGTGAACGCAGCGATGTTACCGTTTCAGCCAATGTAAGATGTCGGGGTTAGGCCGATGAGACAAGCCATTACTTAAACTCTGATTCATAACGTGAGCGAGAACCATAATAACATCTAAGCATCAATTCAGACTACGTATATTGCTTACAGTGAATGCAACATGACAGTCGGATACGAAATGCAGCTCTTGTCATATTGCAGCCACGGCTGTTGGTGACTTGTCACCAACAATCTATAACTTGACTGAGGAATCTGAAGCTGGTGCCGAGTAAGATGTAGAAATCTGCAGAAGTTGTGTTCCCTGCGTATCGAAGGGACGGCATATGCCTGTCTGTAAGTGACTGTCGCTAGATATCATGAATGAGCTTCCTTCTCTGTGTTTCGGCGACCACTCTTTGAACTTCAGCATTACCTTAGAATAAGTGCAGATTTGCCTTTGTTCGCGCGAAGGTAGGGCTCTGCTTCCTAATTCAGTCATGTTTCGCAGTATAAGAGTTTTTGAAAACAATAGCTGTACCAATATAGTAAGGTAGTGCAGGTCCAAAAAGGAGGAAGAGTCTGGTGAGACTAACAGGTGAGGCCAGCTGTTGATCAACCCTGTTTTTGAGCAGAATCAAACCATAAATATCCTCTTCGGTAGTATCTTTTTGATTAAGGTGAAAAGGATTCGTAAGTTAGTGAACTATATCTTCCACATGACAGGCCACTAGTGCCATGCTCAAGGCAACTGAGAAAACACCAACACTTCTACATAGCAGGATCTCTCATGTAGGTTACGGGGCAGATAGCCATACCATCATCAAAAATCATGAACTCTTTCTGTTGCATCAGCTGGCCAAGCCACCTACTCGCAGTCTTCCAATGCGGCCACGATGACACCTCTCTGACCACAAATCGAATCAGACAGTGACAACCAGAGGCAAAAAAAATAACTTCCGGTGGAATCAACTACAAGCTACCGCCTCGGCGTCTTACTATATAGTGCACACTATCTTTGGCGGTCTATTCTACATCTATCATCACCAAGCCTCTTTTGCAGAGTAATTAGACCCTGGCATGTTATACAGTTCACTCGATCTTCATAACTAAACTCTCTCCTTCACCTGTAAGCCTATAGATGAGTGTGTTCACATCACATTCTTTCGGTATTTCTGCCACAGGTCTTATCCCAAAACTAAAAACATGCCACCATAGCACTCAGTAACTTTATATAGGTGCACTCCGAATTCACACACAATTTAAATACAAGTTAAATGTGCACAGAATATTGTTACTCTTCTTCAAGCCAATTTAAAATCACAACTTTTTTTTTTTTTGGAGAACTTCCTGCTCCAGCTCGCCAATTCGCTTCAAACCAATTCCATCATTTGCTGATACGAGCAATCGCAACACAACAGATACCTTGTCTACGTTGCCCAAAATGGACTACAGCAACGGATTTTTAACTGTGTGCATCTTGACCTTCAGCACAGCCGTGTGCATCCTTGGTCTCATTCTCGGTGTTGTCTTCATCTTCTTCCAGCGACAAAGGGAGGAGCAGCTACTGGACGATATTCACCATACCGTATGTGCCGCCATTGAAGCATCATATGACGCTGAGAACTTTGGCTGCGTAAATGACGAGCAAACACAAGTACTGGGAAATTATCGGGTTCTAAACTATTCTTCGATGGGTTCCTATAAGAAAAGAGCAACAGCAGCACAGCCCGCCACAGCAGCAGCAGCAAGAACAACAAGAACAACAAGAACATCCCCAAAGGAGACGCCTATTGGCGAAAACTGGTAACACGGGGTCAAGATTCATGGCGTGAAGGGTGGATTATAGAGTTCTTTGGGAGAGTGGCTTGTAAGGTGACATATCAATCGAGGAGGAACTTCTGTTGAAAGAAGGTTCGGGGGTAGTCATGTGTAAGAAAGAAACTTTTTGTATAGAAATGACGATTAGAAGACCTTTTATCCTTTGTGTCTTCTTTCACAGGTATAAACAAGAGACAGGTCATGGCTAAGCACGGATCACACAACCCTTTTCCTTCATCATGATCAAACTGTTCAATTCAAGTGGCTTGATAAGCAGAATGAGTTCTCGAAACTACCAAATGCCCCTTGGAGCCTACAATTCTGAGAACATCTCTTCGAACCAGTGCGTCACTACCTCAGCGACATATTAAATACTACATCTGACCAATAGAGCAGCACATTGGCGAATATCGAAGGAGAACTTCAGCAAGATGGATCGATACCATGGGGCCTCATTATCTTTTACATCCTTTTCTCTCTCTTTGCCCTACTGACGATCCTTCGTTGGACAGATCTGCAACTCAGCATTCTCCTTGCTTTCATCGACAGCGGCCGATGGCGAGCATACTTTGGAATGGAAGCAACCAGACTACATGGTCAGGGCAACTTCAAAAAGGTCCAAATTGGGGGCAATGCTCCGTCGGTGAAGGTGGTGAAAAAGGTTCGATTCTACGACGATACGACTATTGTTGAAGACATTGAGCGGATGTAAGCGAAGAGCAATGGAGTCGATTGTGCTGACCAAGATCAAACAAAGCGCGGATGACGAGACTTAGTACTGTTGACTTCATTGACTACATTCTCTGACTATTTCTATCTCTTTGGCTCTTCCTAATATACATTCATGCCTGGTCCTCGTCCGCAAAGATCAGCTCAGTTGCTGTCTTTGAGTATTTCCAGAGGCTTCACAAAACTCAATTCCTTCATCAAATCATTCCAAGCCGTCTCTTGAAGTGCCTTTCCCACCGGCTCGTACATAATCTGTGGGTATCTGTCAAATTCAATTAGTGCATTTTCGTCGCGGCCAGCTTCAAAGTACTCACGGCTTAATCTTGCCCTCGCCAACAAAGCTGCCATGGCTTTCTTTGCCCTTCACAGCAACAGCATCAACGTAGGATCTTGCGCCAGTAGAGACTGTTCTTCCAACAATAGGTTTGGCGATACCCATCCAAAACTGCTCAATCTTGCTCCTCTTACCATCTGTTCCAAATTCTGTTCCCCTGCACGCGCCGGGATTGGGGAAGTTGACAATGACTTCGTCGGGCGAGACGTACTCGGAAAGTTTTCCGACAAACATGATAAGAAGAAGCTTGGATATCTGATAGGCGCCATTGCTGGACCAGCTGGAAGGGTCGTCGACTGTATCCCAGATGGCATCGCTTGTTCCAGTCCAATGAGCCCAGTATGACATGTCAGAGCCAACGAGAGCGAGATGCGCAGGCTCAGAAGTTCCACGCTTCTTCTTGAGGACGGGTAAAAGAAGGATAGCCAGGAGGGCAGTGGAGAGGTAGTTGATCTGGCATGTCATTTCATGTTTGGATTCGTCCGATCGCTCAAACTGAGGTCTGCTCAATCCAGCGTTCAGTATGGCAATATCGAGTCGAGGCAAAGTCTCACACCACTTGACGAAGCTTTGGATCGATTTGTACGAAGCCATGTCAACCAACGACACTTCAATCTTTGCCTCTGGGAACTCGTTGCGTAGTTTCTGTGCTGCACTGTCACCTCTCGTTTGGTTCCGCACAGCAATGATCAATTGTGAAAGATCGAGGGCTAGAAGTTGACGAGCACATTCAAATCCCAATCCAACGTTTGAGCCCGTGATGAGAGCTGTTTTCCCGGAAAGAGTGACGCCTTTGGGGGTCTTGGGAACTCCTTCGATGAATTGGCGGGACAGGAATGCAAGAGGGCTGGCCTCCCAGGCGGCATTATGCTGGAGCTGAGCAGACATTGTGATTATTGGTAAATTAAATGAATAGAAACACTGATGGTCTATATTTTGCTATATAACTATCCTCACTGCTTTCTTATATATCTATGGCCTCCGGTCGAGGTACGGACGAATTCACGGACAAAGCTTGGTTACCAACGATCGTCTGTGTTAGTTTCACAGCTATTTTGTTCGGCCGTACGGAGGCCGAGACGGACGAATTGATGCACTTCTTACCAATTCTTGGAAGTGTAACTGTCATTGATCAATAGGGTCCATATGTCTGAGATTAGGAGATAACGATGTGATTGACTTTGATTTCCATATAGTGACCCGATTCTTTGCTTCATTGCTATGGATGCTGCCGAGGATGGTTCATTGAGCTGTTGTCATGCGGGAACATGGCCTCGGACGAAATGTTTGGGGCCAATAATAAGATAGGACCATAGGACAATGGCATAGGACAATGGCAAACTAAAGATAATAAGGAAAAGTACCGTAAAATATTACTGAATCCAATAGCACGAGTGTTGGAAGGTCATGTACGTCGATGGAACATCGATGATTTTTGTCTTTGTTTCATGGTGCATACAATTAATCGTGATTGAAGCTTAATATGATGAACGGTTGTCAACTCATCAAGGGTTATACATATTGAGGTCACAGAAACATCAGAGAAAGTTAGATCCATTGATGGACTGATTCGTTCGATTGTGGGTTTCTATTGTATACCTGAATGTGTTGGTTCAGGTGAGAAAACATAGGGTAACCCTGTCTCATATCCATTCTAACTTGACAAGAATAATAGCCCCAGCAAATCACATCTCTGGTCTCATTTGCCTAATCTGTCCCTCGCGTCAATCATTACTGACTGGGTTCGTTAAAATGCAGTGCAGTGCAGTGATACAATAAACGAGAGCCTTACCAATCTGGATCTTAACTAGGCGGACTAATTTCCCAATCTGCAAGATTTCGCCCTGTAGAAGCAAAAAACAACAGCCGATGGTCCAAAGGTTATAAATATGCTTAATGCTAGCAAATTATTCCGTTCTAGACCAGATCGACCCGTCTTGGCGGGGGATAATGCACCCTGATACCCCTTGGAGGGAGCCTAAGCCCTCAGCTTGCAACTCTGTAGGGAGCGAGCCCAGGACTTTCGGTTCCGAGTAAATTGGACGAGGATCACTGCCTGCATGCAAGCAAAAAATGAGCTCTTTGAATAAAACCACTCTCGCCCCGAGGTTGATAGGGGGATATTTCCATAGACATTTAAACATAAAGATAGAGATCAACTATCGCGATTGATTTGATCGGCCTTTCCTTTTCCCCACGCTCGCTACTTCATTTCGGTCGCAGATTCATCGACATGGGTTCCCTTCGATTTCTCCTTTTCGCGTCGATCGCCACTCTGGCTTCCTGTCGCGATGTCCCCGATAACATCAAGGCTTTCAAAGAGAGCATCATAAAACAAGGCTCTTGCAATGATACTCTCGCAGAAGGCTTCCACAGTGCCGACGGCGACGATGGCTGTAAGCCTTCCAAGATCCGCGTTGCAGTTGCAACCGCGACTAATCAGTAGCAGCATACGTCTACTGCGGCGACCATCTCAAGGACTACAATGTGATATATCTCCAGGGCACCAGAGGCAAGCTCGTCAACATGGACATCGACTGCGATGGAGTCCAGGGCAGTTCTGCAGATGATGGACGCTGTGGCTCATCAGGCGACACACAATCTGTCACGTCCTTTCAAGACCAGCTCAAGTCGTATGGCACGGACCAGAAGGACCTCGATGCCAATATTCATCCTTACGTGGTGTTCGGAAACGTGGGTACGAAGAAGAACTGGCCAACTTTCGATGCGCAAAAGCACGGCATCAAGCCATTGAGTGTGATGGCTGTTGTATGCGGCGACAAAATGGTAAAACAATTGACTCTCTTTGAACGCGGAATGATTGCTGACTTTGTTAGTTTTACGGCATCTGGGGCGACGAGAATGGCGATGATGGTGATGAAGCAATGGTCGGAGAGGCCTCCATCTCCCTTGCAACGGCTTGCTTCGGTGATGGCATGAACGGCGACAATGGCCACGATGAAGATGATGTATTGTATATCGCCTTCCCTGGTAGCGACGCTGTGCCAGGAGAAGACGGTGCCGACTGGGACGCCAAAAACTTCAAAGACTTCGAAGAGAGTCTCGGTGGTGTCGGAGATAAGCTGGTCGCTCGAATCGAGGACACCGACAGTGGTGCCTCTTACTTATGGCCTGGTACATGGGGAATGGTAAGATATTACCCTTTTGTGTCATTTCAAGTTGTACTGACATCGTGATAGGGTCTACTCGTCGCCTCGGCTATGGCTGCCATGGTAGTTTGAACACAAGAGGGTGTATGCATAGTGGGCTTCGGCGGCTCATGATTCTGGAGATGTTTCGTGCCACGTACCTAATGTTTGTTATATGAACTGTTAATATTGGGCATTGGGTTGCATATAGAAGAAGCCATCATAGACATAGAATACCTAATTGTACACTTTTAATACCTTCTGCTTCACGCACAGCACTCACTATCTATACAATCGTCACACGCCATCACTGAAGGAACCGCGCAAACCAGTAGATGATAGTAATAGACAAGGATATCTTCGTTCAACGAGTGTTTTATCTAAACTTGGATATAGTAAGTGAGAAAGGAAAGCTTGTCGCAAGCGCTATGATCTACATATCTAAAGTGTTGAAATCGAACGCAACTCATACCGCCAAGGCGATTCCTAACAATGAAGTGAAAATAATAACCCAATTACCACCAGACTCTAATCCAGCACCTGCATTCGTCGCGTCTTGCTTCGCACCCATGGCAGTCGGCCGCGTCGCCTCGACCCGAACGTTATCCGCCGCTTTGTCCTGGTCAGGAGTGTAAGTAAGCGGCTTGAACCCGCATGACCGCACGATAATATCCAGGTCTTTTTCGTTAGCAGCTGGTTAGTGAGTTTGAGCATGGAGACTCACTGTTTTGCTTGTGTCCATCAACGACGATGCAGTCTTGACATAGCGCTGCGATCTTGGCCACATCAAAGCTCTTGTTGTTGCATACACATTCCCTCTCCGGATCATCCTCTGGAACTAGTGACTGGGTCTGCAAACTAGCCCCCCAACTAGTGATGCTCGCTGTACCAGAATCACCCTGAAGAGTCTTGGTCGGTTGCGTTACTTCCGAGCTGACAAACGATGAACTTATCAAGGTACGTCTCATTGTCATTGTCTGCTCCTCCGCACTGGTGTCGTCCGCAACCCATTTCATTGATGCCAGCGTAGACTTGGTAGTCGACGTTGGTGTTGACCTTGACGTTGAAGTTGAAGTCGACGATGTCGTGCTCTCTTGAGGCTCGAACTGTGGAGGAAATGACGTCGGTGCAGCCCTAATGATAGAAAAGCTTCTCTTGTGCAGTCCATCATCCTCGAGCGGTTCCACGGCCAACTTTGGAACCCACTCAGGGTTTGGCTGTCGCTTCGCGAGGCGATGGTTGTGAACATCACATTTTGCTGTCAACTCGACGATTGGACCACAGATCGTCACGCACATGAGTGGAATGTCGTCCGGCGGCAAGACGTCTGCTATGGCGACAGCGACGAGGCCTGTAATTGCGGCCTGTCTGGCCCATGACAATCTCATCTCGACGAATAGCTGCCTCGATTATATCCCAAGTCGACGATGGTGGCCCGTACGTTTAGGCCTCGAAGACAAGACAGGACAGGATGAGCCGCCTGCAGCCAGCAATTGAATAATAAGCGAAAGAATATAGAGGCACAGCCCCGGGATAACACAAAAGTGATACCAATATGGTTAAAGAGCGTATGGTAGCGAGACCAAGATGTCACCCGTTCAACAGGAAGACAAAGACGACAAATGTCTCGGGACGAGAAGTACGCACGAGGAGGCGAACCACGGCGACGGTACTCCTCGATGCATGATGAAACGCGTGCCCAAAGGAGAGTAGTAATCTGTATCAAGTGCAGGGCACGATGCTACGTGGAGCGAGATCGAGAACGTTGTTGCAGGGAACATGACGGCTGGGCTTGGGAAACAAGTAGTCTTCCGGTGATAGCCTGTTACACTAGAGGTTCAGAGGTGAGACGCCTGGTCAATCGGCTGAAACAAGGTGGTTGAAGCTTCGTCTCAGGACAGGATCATGGTGGATTAGTCATGAAACAAATTGACTGACGCGAACACCATGATAGATAGCGATCGTGATAGCCGAACCGCTATGAAATATTTCAGTTAGTATGTACCTACTTAGCCTCCCCATCTTAAGCTTAATTAATAGACATGGGGTAATCTGATCTGTCCATCGCCAAAGTCCAAACGGCTACAGGGCCATAATTCAATCAAGGTGCCATGGACATCAGATAGCAGGTAACGGAAACATTGCTCTCGCATCGCATTTTTAACATCTTCGAATCTAAATCTATGTCCAGTAAACATCTTCACCTGTTCACGCCGTGCATCCGCCATGTCCTTCCAGTGTATCTCGGCGTGTATCATCAACCACGTCCATATGTCATTTCATGCTTATTAAAAACGGTATAATCTTAGCCAACAGTCGACGAATTCATACAATCAAGAAATCTAAAAGTCGGCCGTCGAAAAAATTGTGTCTGTCTCAAAACCAGGTGAGACACTTAGAAGCGGTGCTGGCGACCAACACTCTCGACGCGAACACCAAGCTTGACCATCTCTCGAGAGTCGATGACACCACGGCCGTCAAAGACCCAACGGGGCTTGGCCATGCTCTCAGAAATGCGGACCCAGTCAACGCGCTCCTTGGGCTTGTACTCCTCGGAGCTTCCCATTCCTGTGGCGAAGCCAGTGTCCTTGCTCTCACGTTCCTGGATGCAGTCGGGGCAGTCGTCTTCACAGCTGGGCTCGACGTTGAAGCGGTCCAGAGGGTCATGGGATTGGACATCAGCACGTTGGACAAGGTGCTTGTGGAGAGCGAGAAGTTCGTTGGCACTGGGGGTGGCGCTCTCGAAAGGACGAGGGTCGGCCTTGGGGTTAGGCTTGCGGCCAATGGTCTTAGATTGGACGGCAGGTGTAGGGGCGGGAGGAGGAGGAGGCTGGTTACGGAACTCGTCGAACTCAGTAGCAATGATGATGGCGGTACTGGACTCGCAAGCATCGTAGGCATTGCCATGGACAGTGATGTTGTGTCCCTCAGCAAGGGGTCCGAGGAGCTCCTTGATCTCGGCCTTGATGACCAGAGGGTTACAGCAGGGATCGAAGACAGCCACCTCACGGGGGCGCTCCTCAAGAAGGGTCTTGATCATCTCAAGAGCGGGAGCCTCACGGGTATCGGAGGTGTTCTTCTTGAAAGCGAAGCCAAGAATGGTAACCTTCTTGCCAACGAGAGTGTTGTTGAGACACTTGATGACGCGGTTGGAGAAACGGTCACGGGCATACTCGTTCATCTTGACAACCTGGCGCCAGTACTCAGCGACCTCGGGAAGACCCATGGTCTCAGCAAGGTAGACGAGGTTGAGAACATCCTTCTTGAAGCAGCTACCACCGAAGCCGATACCAGCCATCAAGAACTTGTTACCAATACGGGGGTCAACACCGACAGCACGGGCAACCTCATCGACATCAGCGCCAGTCTGCTCGCAGACAGCGGAGATGGAGTTGATGGAGGAGATACGCTGAGCCAGCATAGAGTTGGCAACAAGCTTAGCGAGCTCGGAAGACCAGACGTTGGTGGTCAGAATGCGCTCGCGAGGAATCCAGGCGTTGTAAACCTTGACGAGAGCCTCGGCAGCTCGCTTACCGGAGGGGGTAGGAGCGGAACCGATCAGGATACGGTCAGGGTAGAGGAGATCGTTGACAGCGGTACCGGCAGCCAAAAACTCGGGGTTGGAGAGAATCTCGAAATGGACACCAGGGCGGTGCATGTTAAGCTTGAATCACGTTGTTAGCATTTGACCTCTCTTCTGCTGCAGAATTTACCATGTGCTTACAGTATCAGCGACAAGCTGGGCAGTTCGGCAAGGAACAGTCGACTTCTCGACAATGATGGCTCCCTCGCGGGCGTACTGAGCAACGACACCAGTGACAGCTTCGAAAGCGGTCATATCAGTGGCGCTGCCGGCACCAACACCACGGTACTTGGTGGGAGTGTTAACGGCAACAAGGACAATATCGGCCTCGCCAATGTGCTTGGCAATGTCGGTGGAGAAGAACAGGTTGGGCTTGCGCTCAGCAACTGTGATCTCGCCCTCCTCGGCAGAGGAACCCTCACTGTCAGTGGTAGGCTCATTGGAGATCTTGGTAGGTCGGCCACCGTCACGGGCAATTCGGACGATATCGTGCAGACCAGGCTCGTAGATAGGGGGGTGGCGGGAGTTCCAGCGGCGAATGCGAGTGGTGTCTCGGTCAACGACAGTGACCTGAATGTGGGGGTTCTGGAAAGCGACGACAGCAGCGGTAGGGCCACCTGTATGAAATTTGTTAGTTTGTTGGAACTCAATTGCGTTATTGGAGCGGTGTATAGGTCCCGAGGGGTTGATAAGCGCGCAGTCATGATATCGAGTGCATTGCCACAACTCTCGCAAATCCGATACACCAGCTTTTTGCTCTCTCATGGAGAATCGATTGGAAAAGGTTTCTGCAACTTACCAACGTAACCAGCACCGACACAGCAGATGCGGCGTACCTCAATGGGGGCCTCCTGAGTACCGTTTGAAGACATGATGATCAGAGGCGGTATGAAGATATTACAGACAAGGCAAAGAACAATCTGTAGAGACGATGCGCGCAAACGAGGTCACGAATCGACACACGTAGTATGCTAGCGAGTGTAAGGGCTTGGAGAGAGATGGGAGGGAATGGGGAGGTTTATAAAGGAGGTGGAAGCAAAGGCAAGGGAGGCTAGAAAAGATATTCCCACTTCAACGTTGCAGTCAAGGTGAGCTAATAGGAAAAAGGGGGGCACTACTTTCTCTCTGGGCTCTGGAGGAGACTGGAGAAGGACGGAGGGAGACTACCCTTACCCAAGGCAAAGGCAAAGGCCGGTGGAGGGGCAGTCGTTGAAGCCACGCAACGATTGGGGAGTAACTTTTTGGCACGAGAAATTAAGGCGGTGAGATTATTCCCATTAGTTTAAGTTAGTACCTTTGTTCTTTTCCACAATCCTTCCCTACAGCAGGTACATATCTCGTTCTGCCCGCCCGCCGCCTGCCCGCCCGCCGCCAACTTTTCAAGGGAGCGAACGGCAGCAGGTGTGCTGTGTGTGGTGTCGATTCTTGGAGGGGCAGGGATTCGTTCATTGGATTTTCAGGGATTCCAGGCACACAGACACCTTCTCACGGAGGGGGGTTCTGAATGCAG